TTGATTTAATTGACTGAACAGCTCAGCCGTTCGGGTCGTTTGTCGGCGGACAGATTCTCGGCGACGGCAACAATAAAAGCGATCAACAACTCTATCATTATATCGCTGTATTTATCGGTTAGATATTTACATATATTTTCATATCTTTATAACTGTTAACTCATTGTTTTGAATAATAATTACCGGTAAAAGTAATCAATAGTTACTAATCATGTTTTTTATCATGTATTCTGAAAAATATAATTAATTATTAATCATACGGTTAGACTTACAAAATTTCATATCATTCCCAAATTCAATGCCATTATCAGTGTTTTGTAATAATATGTGGAATATTTTATTATTATTTTATGATATTTTAGATTTGATTTATTGCATATCTATACTGTACTGTATATCCAAATGTTTGGTTACATTGATTTGAATTGTTTGCCTTTGAATTGCAGTGTCATTATGCGGTCAATTAGCAGCACTTATATGGGTGTTAATCGTGATCAACGAGAAGCCCAAAGAGCCGGTCATCTGTATAGTGAACCGCGAATTGTTTGAGTCGAGCTCTGCCGACGTGTCCATCAACGAAGACGTTGAGATCCGATCGGTGGAGTCCATCAGCGACACAGTGGGTCGCCATCTGAGACAACTCTTCGACATAAGTAATGTGATGGACATCTTTCACACGTGTGTCAAACGGCGGGCAAACAAAGTGCGAACCCAGATATGGCTATTAATGCTGTCCATCTGTTGCGTGATGTTGTCATACATGGGATCAATGATAATCCTATGGCAATACGTGGAGAAGTTGTACAGTTGGCGCGCGAAGGACTACTCCAACATCAACTCATTGGTTACGGTGTTTACCATCATTTCGATGGCCATTATTATACCTGTGTTTATGAAGAAAATGAAAGTTCGTGATATGCTATTAGGTATGCATTTTTTGCAATTGTTTTTTACATAGATATTTTGTTTGATATATGCTTTTATAATTATAACTATTTTAATGTTTGATTATAGCATGCATTTAGTTTTGATGTTTTGCTATCTAAACATTTATGTAATATATTTTATTTGAAATAATTTATTATTTTTTACCACTGGTTTGGTC